ACCCACACACACACACACACACACACCCCACCCTTACCTCTCCATTGTGTAGCCCAGCCTCCACCAAGCCATTCATCTCCAATGGCTGGTTGTCGTTTTCATCCAGGACCTTCTCTGGTACCGGCGGAGGTAAGTCCTCCTCTGGCTCCTCCAGAGGCTTGTGGTAGAGAGCGCTGGTATTATCAGAGCGCCTCTTGGCCTCCAAGTCAGCACTGTGACGACTCTTCTTATTCAGGTCAACAGAGGCGTACTCAACCCCTGCACACAGGGGCCCTCGCTCAGGAGTGCAGGGGCTCAGGTTGCCGTTGATTACGACAGGGGCAGGATGAGGAGGTTTGTCTGGGCTCAGCTGGACAGTACCGCTGGGGAGGCCAAGCTGCACAGGGGGGTCTTTGAGCTCTTTGACCGTCTCGTATATGGAGTCTTCGACGCTGACATCGCGTGATGTCACTGCGATCTCCTTCACCACCTGAAAAATATATACATAATGGATCCTTTAATGCCCTTGTACATATATGAGCAAAATACGTTTTGTGCTTCTGTTTTCTAATTGAAAACTCAGCCCACTCATACACTTCTTGTGGCAATTTTGAATTTATTTCTACATTTTTACCCTGGGCTCAATCAATCAAACAATCTCTCAGTCACACAAAAAATCAACTGACCAATCAAAGCTTTAATCTCATGTAACAGCCTAGTACAAGTAAACTGTGATTCTGCTGTTGGGAGGTGACATTAAGCACTGACCTCGTAGGTGCTGTCCCCTGAAGCTGGGGGGCCATCCCCGATAAGAGCATTATTAGGAGGGATGCTGGGAAGTTCGCGGTCCTGAGGACACTTGGAGGACCCGAGCTCTAGTTGGCTGGAGAGCATGTCCTCTGACGGCTGAGGACTGGTGTCCTGTGTGTCCGTGAGGACTGGTGGAATGGACAAAAAAAAAAAAGGGTCAGGGCAAGTAAACAGCATCTCATGTGGGGACTTTTAATGTGTTTTTCATGAGAACAAGATGTAAATTTACTTCAAAGTCATTTTGTAATGAGTCACTACTTTCCTTTTTTGTCACTCCATTACTGCAGTTTCCTGTTACTGATATTAGGTACCCACCCAGAATGTCTAAGAACATTACACAGATGTGTAATGTAATGTCATCTACAGTAATACTGGACAGAAGGAGAAGCATGCTGTAATTTGCTAGCTGTGATGCTAATATTATAAGATCTTAGAGTTAAAATACTTAACCACATGGAAAGTGAGGACATGACACACTGTCTTACTTGTACCACTGGTTGGAACGCCATTGTGAGAGCCGCTGACAGCCACATCAGTCACCGGACTGTCTGCTGATTGGCTGATCGTCTCTCTCTCTGACATCTGCACAACACAAGATATGCTGTTCGTCATTGCTGTCAGAGCTCTGGGAGTTCACCCAAGTGTTGACAGAACGAAGGCATTTAATGCACATGGAAAACACCAGTCTTAGATACATCACACAAAAACATGTTGGAATGTTTAATTCCTGAAGGGAACCAAAATCTATCCGCACTCATCAGCTTGTGCAGGGTACGTGACTTTCTCACCTCTGTGCAATCAATCTTAAAATGTTTGGGGAACACAACTCTCATATTTGTAGCATAAATTACAGTTTCCATGCCAGCCTGTTATTTTACTACACTTTTCATAGCTTTTGCTTTCACTCTACTGATTAATTAAACTACTTTATCAGTATGTTATGCATGTTTAATTAGATGTAGTGTAATTTTACCACCTAACAAAAGATAATTTCTATCACTGTAAAACACAAAACTGTTAACTGATTTATGCCTAATGAAGATACGCTGCTGTTTATTATAATCTCATTGGTCTGCACAAGGGTTTTTGACAGGCTGACAAGATCTGACATCTTTCTTTTGACATAAAATGTTCTCCTCACATCTGGACACATGTCACACTGATTCATTAATAAGAGACAGTGAAACCAAGTAAAGGGTCACTGCACAGTTCAGCTGACAGTGACAACATCACTAGTGACACATGAAATAAAAATAAAGACCACAGAAGATGATACTTTGTGGATACCAACATAAATCTAGAGGAAAGTCAGAGCTACAGAAGAATAACCTTGAAATTGGCTAAGATTCAGTCAAAGACAGTAGAGCATGTTTCTTTCTAACACTGAGTCTTTAACTTGTATTCTTTAGACGAAGGCTGTTTCCCTGTTTGCTACATAACAAATTCTGCTGCTCTGATTAAACAGTGAGAAAGCAAAAATCCACACCATTTGGTCTGATCAACCTCTGCAGAGTTGAATCAGCTCACAACAAACAAATAAGCAAACACTCAAATCAACACTTTCGTCAACTCTATCTGACATGAATCTACACTAATTAACAGAGGATGTGCCGAGCACCTTTCATGATTCGATTTAAACTGTGCAGCTTCCACAGGCGAAGACATCTCTCCATACACATTACTTAGAAATTTGAAAACACAGTGAAAATATATTAACCAGTGCCAGTCAAGGTTCTCTTTGTTCAGGTTTGTTGATTCCTTCAGTGTAGGCAGATGGTTGTGTATTAAAGCTCCACAACCCCACATAGTGGTCATCCACTGGTATAACTGTTGGTGTCAATGATGTAATGTGTTTATCACCCCGACATCTCTTATGTTGCTCTTTTGTCTCATTTACTCGATAAATGTGGGACATAGTTAAAGATAAATGAAGATAGCCTGTTTTTATCTCACTGCTTACAGCATCTTTTAGTTTTCTAAAATTATCTATAGCTTTTATAAATGTTCTTTAATATAATGGAAAATGGAAAATCAAACCTACCTGATTTAAAAAAAACAAGACAAGCAAATTATTATTTGACTAATCCTTACAAGACATGACTTGGGTAAGGGTTAAGACTGAATGAGGCACTAAATTTAAACAGTTTGTACCCTTAAAACATAAATGTTGAGTGTGAATGAAGACAAGGCGTGAGAGGTGAGGAAGAGGGTTTGACTGCAGTTTTAGGACACTGCTGTAGGGAAGACAGCTAGACTGATTGCATGTGAGTGAGGAATAGCCGGTTGCCTCATCTGTATAGACAAAGACCCCCATTTAACCTGCCAACCTGTGACATGGGCTGTTATTTAGAGGGGCTCCTCCTGAAACAATGTGACCGCACTGCAATCGTACTGTGTAAAGGTTATGATGAAGGTATCCATCAAGCACAAAAAGGCTCTGAGGAATGCATATGTGCACATGTACGTACATATAGTACAAACCCCAGGGGCAGTGACCGAATGAGAGTGTAAACGGATGTCACTTAGTCTGTGAAAGCGGGGCATTTGTCACACTTAAAATTTTTGCCTGGTTACTGAAGCATTATGGGAGTTGGTAATTACTCTCTATGTCCATGACATGAGGACACAGTGTACCTTTACATCACTGTCAGTACCTATTGTCATAAGAGCAAAGGTAAACTCTATTTGCTTTTTTCAGATTGCTGTAGTCTTTGTCCTTTTGTTTCACTGAATTAAATTTATTTTCAGTGACTTAAAAAACTATGGTTTTAAAATAACTCTCAGGAGAATAGCAGTGGAATTTCCCACTTGTGCTTTCTTTGCAGAAGTACTTCACCATCAGTGGCTGTAGGTGATTTAGAAATCATTGTAATAACAACTGGAGGCTGTCAGTCATCTGAGTGCATGAAAGTTTTGTTTTTGTCTGTGTGATAGAAGTGGTCTCCAAAGCACACGCCAGACAATATGTGTGTGTTTGTGTGTGATAGGAGAATCAGAGTGGAGCTATATATATGTACTGTATGTGTATGTTATTCAGGCATGAAATCAGCATGGAAGTTAATTTACCAGTGGTTCCACTGGCTGATTACAGACATGTCACTCTCCCATGCTGGGCATAATGAGGGCTGTGTGTGTCTCACTGTGTTTGCATGCTTTCATCTTTTGTTTAAGCAGGAGGTTCTTTGGCTACGTCATTGTTTGTCTGTGTGTGAGGAACTCTGTATGAGTGTGAATGTGCATGTATATATGTTACTGCTAATCTGGCTGACACACTGTGGCAGGCTGACTCAAAACACACAGCTGTTCACTACTGCATTTCACATTATACACAAACACATCCCAAACACAAGAAGAAACAAATCTGTAAACCAAAACCACAATTTTAGAAAATCATTTTCAGTGCAGGTCTTTTCATTAACAGTGTCCTCTCTGAGGTGTTTCATTATCCCTTCAAAATATGGTTGTGATTCATCTTCAGAACTGTTGTTTATGCATGGTCTAGCCTATTGCAGGAAAGAGATAAGACCTAAAGTCCAACTCACGCCATTCATGAGGTTTTCATAGTCTCCCTTTGGATGTCTGTTGACTGCTTTCTTCTGCCTAAAGGAAAAACAAGTGGAGATAGAACAGATAGAAGATGGATGATTATACTTAGGAAGTGTTCTTTCATTGTTTTGTCTCTAGTGTCCACTGCACTGGATTTCAAACAAAACTATGAGATGAAAAAAGTTATTTTTAAGTTTTAAGGGTGTTTTGGGGTGGCCACATTCATCCAGATATACAAGGTCTCTGATTCCATTAGCTACTGAATTTCTATACAAAATATACACTCAGTGTCCATCTGTATGGGCTAATCAAGATCAAGATCAAAGATTATTATTCTCAATTCACTATATGTGCAGGACATACAGAAAATTGAAATACCGTTTCTCTCTCACCTAGTATTGAATGCCATACCATTTAGGAAACTAAAACTAGGAAACTAAAAGTAGAGTCAAACTAGACTAAAAAGAATAAGAAAACAAATTCAAAATGAGGTTAAATGGGACAGTGTTCAGCATCCTCACAGCCTGGTGGATGAAGCTGTTTGTAAGTCTGATGGAGTGGGCCTGAAGACTCCGATACTTTCTCCCTGAAGGCAGGAGTCTGAAGTGGGAGTGTGCGGGGTGGGAGGTGCAGGTGAGGCGGGTGTTAAAGATGTCCGTAAGGGAAGGCAGAGGGGCGCCATTGATCTTGCTGGCTGTTTTCACTAAGCATTGCAGGGTCCTTCTGCAGGAAGCAGTACAGGCTCCGTACCACACAGTGATGACGCTCTCAATGGCGCCCCGGTAGAACGAGCACACAGTGGGGTGTGGGACACTGTTTCTCCTCAGTTTGCGCGGGAAGTAGAGGCATGTTTGAGCTTTCTTGGCCAATGATGTGGTGTTGTTGGTCCAGGAGAGGTCCTCAGAGATGTGCACCCACAGGAACTTGGTGCTGCTCACTCTCTCCACTACAGCACCGTGGATGGTCAGTGGTGGATGCTGTAGAGGTTTCCTCCTGAAGTCCACAACAATCTCTTTAGTCTTCCCCACATTGAGGAAAAGGTTGTTGTCCTTACACCACTGGACCAGTTGGCACACTCCTATAGCTGGCCTCATCATTGTTGGTAATGAGGCCAACCCCAGTCGTGTCATCCACAAACTTGACAATGTGGTTGGTGCTGTAGGTTGGCACACAGTCGTGGGTCAGCAGTGTGAAGAGCAATGGGCTGAGCACACATCCCTGTGGAGCCTCTGTACTCAGCGTGATGGTCTTGGAGATGTTGCTGCTAACCCGCACATTTTGTGGTCTCCCTGTTAGGAAGTTGAGCACAGTTGCAGAGAAAGGTTTTGAGTCCAAGTGTCCAAGTTTTTGTGTAAGCTGCTGGGGAATGATTGTGTTGAATTCTGAACTGAAGTCTAGGAAGAGCATTAGCACATAAGAGTTCTTTGAATCTAGGTGGGTGAGGGCTGGATGGAGAACAGCAGTAATGGCATCCTCTGTGGACCTGTTTGACCTGTTTGCAGGTGCAACTGAAATGGGTCGTGAGAGGGAGGAAGGATGGACCTGACGTTCTGCATGACCAGCCGCTCGAAGCACTTCATAATAGTTGAAGTCAGTGCTACAGGCCGAAGGTCATTGTAACTGGTTGGGTGGGGCTTCTTTGGAATTATTGTGGTGGCTTTGAAGCACGTGGGAACAACCGCTTGGCTCAGAGAGATGTTAAAAATGTCCGTGAGGACAATGCAGTTCAACTGTTCTGCCATAAAGTTACTTTTGCATTGCCTATAATGTGCAGTGTTGTTGACACTGTAATAGAGGTGTTAAATTATATGTTTAAACACTGAGGTCATAACTTGTAAGTGTGTTTTAGTCGACTACATTTTGAGAGGTGTTAACTATATTTTGACCACACAGGTGTGGAAATAGGAAAGGCCACAAACTTAGAAACACCTTCCAATATAACATGATGATAACTATGATGTCAGTAATGAAAATGAAAGTGAATTTAAACATCAGACATTGATGGCAGGGCTGCTGTATTGTCTTGCATTAGAAAGCACAGGTGTGCCTAAAGAAGTGGTCCCTGAGTGTAACCTGGCCTGTTTCTGGCATCGTTCTCTAGATGTTTTGACAAGTGACCACAACAACAGTAAAGTGGGCACTGAAGTATTTGTATAATTTTTGTATTACGGTTGTTTTTAGTAATTGCTCTATGTTTTTATACAGTATGTATTATCTATAGACTGCAGTGTATGAACCAAACTGGCCCACATGGACATTAAAGCTCTGCTCCACATTATTCTGGATGAACGGGACTTACTCTTCAGACTATGTATAAAGACAATTACTGTTCTCCAATTTCTATATGCTACATCAAATATGCATGTTTGGATTCAATTTATTAAACTGAAAGTTTGCAAACCATTGTTTCATTGCAAATCCAGTGGACTAGAGACAAATCAAAGTTGTTCGGATACTTACAGACTGCACTCTATTTCACGGTTTAGACTCAACATTAAAACATTTTCTCTATATTCTGGTTAGTTCAGCTGGTCAAAAAGCTGATCTCAGACATGTGGCAGTTAGGGCAGTGCTTTCTTTGATTTTGATTTGATTTGATTTATTTTTTCAAGCATGTAAAGACAGTTGATATGTCAACACACATAATTTTACACATATCCAACAAATGCTAATCCAATATCAATTTGCTTATACCTAGTACATGCTTGAATGGAGTAGGAAGAAGTCAGACTTATCCAGTCCTACCCCATGACATCATCTTACCATCATTGGTTTGCAAGCAATAAATGATTCACTTCTATTCTCTTCTACACCACACAAGTAATATACTAAAGAATTATAACAGAGTGTTAACATTCTTACATAATTACATTCTTAAATAATTATCTTCTACACCACACAAGTAATATACTAAAGAATTATTACAAAGTGTTAACAATCATACACCACACCCACAATTGTCCATGTAATTTATCATTGAGCCTGTTCTTGCATATATCTTGATTGACACATACTTCTCTTTATTTAACCAGGTAAAAAAAACCCATTGAGATCACGATCTCTTTTACAAGGGTGACCTGGCCAAGAGGTCAACCCAAAATATAACATACCTTTATATTTATGTTTAAACTCGTCAATTCTATTACTATTTTTTATGTCTACACTTA